CTTTAACCATATTCCAATAATTGGCTCATGGGGTGTGCGATAGACTTACCTCCACGTGGTGCACCCTGGGCAACGTATACTCATACGGCAAAAAAGTCTATAAACCGGCAGTTGACTTCTGACTTCAAACTACCATAACCCCACTGGATGCCATATTCTACCACTTCCACAGTAATCATCCTTCCTTTTCTCTGCCTTTGTGTCTGTCTCTTTTACAACTGTATACTACTCTTCTGTTCCCCATCCCTCGACTTTCTGTTACTTTGATGTTCCTTCCCCCTGTGAACCCCGAAGTCAGCTAAAGGGCTAATAATAACTATCAAAACGCCTGCCATTTGAAATAAATAAATAATTCGCTCATCTAGTTCATACCACCTGATGGAATTGGCAAGCAAAATATCAGATATGAACACAAATAATCAGTCCACAACCAATGAAACATACATCAGGTGTGACTGGAATTTGCAAGGGTGGTCCACCACCTGTATTGTGGGTACGAATGAGATCCAGTAGATAAACCAGAAAGTCTCCAGTCTCCGTTTGTAGTGGAACACTCAAATTGACCCAAATGTTCTCCATTGGCGATGGTCCCAAATTCGACACGAGGAAGATCTGTTCAAATTCCGGTCCAATACTCTCAGGATGGACACGTTGACGCTCAGTAAATTGGGATGAGAAATTTCGCCGATCAAATACCGTGTGACCCGTAGAGGATGAAGAAAGCTAAGGGAATGGAGGTGTAGATTTGGTCACGGCGTGTATAAAGTTGTAATAAATTAATAAATTAATTAATTAATTAATTCATTTTTTAAAATTTTTTTCGGCTATAAGATAATCAAGAAAGGAGTCCTTTGATAAATATGAAAAAAACGGGAGGGGGGGGGTTGTCAGAGTTTAAAAATAAGGAATAAACGTGAATCGATTATTAGGTTCATTTATACCTAATGACAGAAAGGAATATCTAGTTTAAAGTGGGTATTGGTCTTAAAAACTTGGTGCACTTCTTTCGGTTAATTACTAAACAACTTAACAGTACCTATACAAGTTGTGGATAAGCATTTGTACTAACAGTATCAGAATGGTGTCTGTGGCTAGTTATCACGAAGATAAAGATTAACATTGGCTTTTAAGCCGCTATTTGTAGACAGGTAGTGATAAATGACTGAGTATAACGGCTTCCGATTTTCACCAAAGGAGTTGACGAAGTTGACTTGGGTAGAGATTAGCGATTATGTATTTGTTCGGGTGAACAGAAAACCCATTTCCCACCTCACTACTTCCCCAGAACTAGCGTATTTGACGGACTATTCACTTCACTAGATGTGCATCAAAGAGCTACACTTCCACGAAAACTGCGATGGCCAAACAAAAACTAAAGTTTAACAAAAAATAAAATAATTTTATGCCTTTTTTCATGTAAAAATGATTTAATTAATTATTTATTTATTTATTTTTGTACGTGGTGCAAGTATAGTGTTCGAAAAATAATTGATGGATTAATTTGCACATTGTCAATGTGCAAATTAATAAACTTCAAAGCGGTGCTTTGTACTTTAAAGGTTTGAAAATGTTGATTTGAATTGGTTCACTCACTTTGATATCAGCAAATAGTTTAAGGGAATAGGAGAACTTGGCGGTAACTTTTCGATCGCGCATATTCTCATTGTCACTTGTTACCTCAGCAACAATTTCCAGACTTTCTGGAGGTACCCAGACAGCGGTTGAGGAATCATTGCTCTTGACTGGAGAGCCAGGAGGAGGTTGGAAAACACCGGAAGTTCCAAGTTGAAATCGAAGCTTTTCCCATCGAGGACTCGTGGAAATGAAGGGATTTGGAAGACTGCACACCACTGTGGTCATCTAAAAGAGATAGGAACAAAATATTACAAAAAAAGCCTTTTAAACAGCGTACATTTGTTACTGGAACATGGTACATTTGGATTGATTTTGCAATAGAAAGGAAAAGCCTCTCGCTGGTATTAATGGCAGCTAAAAAGCAATTTATATAAATACAGTAATTTAAGGGGCTTTGCTAAGTCCCATTCTTAAGTTATACAGATCAAAGCGTAGATACAAAAAAGATTTGTATTTTTTTTGGGTGGGGGGGCTCTTAAAAAATGAGTGTTTTTTCTCCGCTAGAATTGGTCAGCAAAAAAAATAATGAACCAAGCAAATATCATTATTTTAATTCTGCTTACCCAGGTATACGAAATGGGTAACTGTATTGACTCAGTCATTACCAATGGTAGAATAAAATAAACATTTCTTCATGTGTCTTTATCACAAGAAACTAAGTAAACACCAAGTATGCCCAAGTAGTTCAATAAGGAAGGAAATGAGAAAATGGAGCAGACAAATAATAATGAAGTCATGGCAACTGAACACTGCTAATGCATATTGACGTGCTGGTCTAATTGATCGATCGGTAAATTCTTTTCTGATCATTGGTGTCTACTTACTGATCGTATAAACCCGAAGCTTCTTCTTCTTCTGGAAATGAAATTTGCAATTATTCCTGTTCCCCAAAATGCAAAATATTGACTTCTTTACTAATATTTTTACGGCCATGTGTTGCTGAAATGGTACTTCATGGGATTGAAGCCAAAAATAAACTGGCAGTAAAATAAGCCAGCATTCTTTGGATCAAAGGCGTCAAATGCTCTTAATGAGTATTGAAAAATTTCTAAATCGTAATTAATCCTTGTTGGCATAGAAGGACAACTTGTCTTCATGAACTGCATGCCATTTCTCTGCAACAGAAATCAACTAAGACACAATGAACCTCGCCTAGCAATTTGGATGAAATGTGTAGAAACAGGCTTAAGTTTAACACTTACGGGAATTTTTGAAGAGTTAATGTCTTTGTCACCTGCGATACCACTCTCATTTACTTGTTCCAGTTCCGTGGGATCAGATTCAATTTTGCACGCGTAATTCTTATCTGGTATATAAGCGAAGTGCGCTGGAATGTGGACTCGAATTTTTGTGTCATAGGCATTTTCACCCAAATTCCGAACAGCTACTGTGAAGTTGCGTTCACTGACCCTCTCTTTGAAATAGATTGTAGATGGTCCCTCCTTACCGAAACCAAAGCCCTCGGAGGTATCGTAAACTTCAACATTTAAATCTGGCACACAAATATCGTCGTAACCACAGTCGGGATTAGAGAAATACATCGGTTGACTAAGGAAGACTTTATCTCCTTTCAGCGGATGTAGACCCCATCCGGGTATTTGAACTCCACCAGCTACCAAGAAGTCGGCAGAATCTGGCATAAGTTCAATACTCGTGTTGACAACAATGGGTTTCCATAATTGCTTCTTCGTTTGAAACCATCTTGGCGTGACAGTCAGTTCGAAAAGTTGGAAGGTTCTTGAGCCCTTGAGGTGGCCCCTCAAACTTGAGAGCTCAATTTCCATAGTATCTTCCATAACTGCTCTTCCTGTCTCCGTGGAATGAAGACGCTTTGTGGTTTCGTGTTTGATGCGACTATCCAAGTCTATTCGGTAGCGGAATTTCAGAGTAGGTGCACGTTTTGAAGAGAAGAATATTTCTCTGACGTGGATGTTAAGTTCAAGACCAATACGATATTTACACATAGATTGGTCACAAGGAGTATTTTGTGGGCCAGTCCAGTCTAAAGTTGGTCCACCGGGCAATTTCCATGCCGGCCTCTCCAGCCAAACAAGGTTTCGTGACCGAAGTGTTACAACCTAAAAGAAAACAGGCGCATATTTAGTCAGGCTTCCAAAGCCACTGCTAATTAAGGTGGGGGGGGGGGGGGGGGGGTAAAAATTCACCTGCTCGCTTTCATAGTCTCCTACAATCAAATCAGGTGAAAGGTTTCCATCCACATCTGACTTTGAAGCCATACTCCAACCGAAAGCAGAGAATGGCCGTTTTTTTGGCTGGTCATTATCAAAAGAACTTTCACATGCAAAGGCGCCCTTTGCCGGCAAATCTGCAGGATAGATTATCTGAAACGGGTAATAAAGATGGTTCGTTAAATTAATCATTTACTCTAGTTGTGCGCAACGCTGTTCCAGGTTTTGGTCACTTCCATGTTTAAAGGAGATGGATTTAGGGAAGTTTATTTCCTACAACCCACCTGTGCATGCGGAATGACCCATCTTCAGGTCATCGTGAATGACTAACACATGCGTATTTCCCTAATTTAGTAGATGAATGTATTATGTCCACAAATTCCCGCAGTCAACTCACCTGGTCGGGTTCATCCTTGATTTTTGCACCTTTGCGGCCAAGATATACATAGACGGCTCCCTTGTCGATCGACTTTCGAGAATCTTGGCAGAACGGACAGGAAATGGCAATATCATCGATTCCATCGCCGTCCAAATCACCAGCCAGAAGAACAACGTGTCCGAAACGGCCACCAGCTTTTCTTGGACCGCGTAAAATTACTGGTGGTTCTTGCATGTATTCGTTCTTATCTCTTGAATTCATCTCGCCTTCACTCTCCATGTATCCAGCGCCCACCACTCCACGTGGTTTTCCATAGAAAATGTACACTCGACCTATGTCGGGGTTTATAGTACGATAACGACTTTCTGAAGCATCACTCTCATCTGAATACATGGGCTGATCGCCCTGCATTCCAGGTGCAGTGTCAGCAGATCTCTGAACTTTCGTGAACCGCCGATTTTCTGAGTAGTAGGGTGATCCAACTATGATCTCTGGACTACCATCTCCATTTAGGTCAGCAGCTGCAATACTGGACAAATAAAATTTTGTGAATATCGATTTTTTGCGGAAGCAGACATTAAAAATGGCTAATAAGAAATGCTTACCTGTACCCGAAGAAACTGCCGATATGACCCCAATTATCCTTAATGTATCGAATCTAATGACGTAAGAAAACACGATGAACTTAACAGATAAAACGGTGCTGCGATACATATCTGGGTGAAGCAAAAATATATTTTCCCTATAAAACCTATAAAACTGATTACTTTGAGTGCAAGTCAAGTAACTAAAAAAGCTTAAAATTTAAAGAGGGGCTTAATTTTTAATGTTGAAAATTATTTTTTTATTAATATATCCTAATCATCAACACGAGGGATATAGTTTACTCTAGTTCATGAATTACTAAAATTTGAAACGCATACTGAATTAACCGTCTGGAACCACCACCTGGAACTTTAGGTTCAAATTCCGGATAGCTGAGCACGAATGAACGTCCGATTCTGAATGCCTTTCCTGCAACACTAATTAATCCTATTTTACCATTAATTTTAGCATTAAAAGATTAAGAGGGAATACCATTAATACTTACCAATTTAAATTAAAACTAAATATATTTTAATTAGCTAATTTAAAGTACAATTGATTTCTGGTTTATGTAAGGCTAAGACCAGTGTATAAAGCAGTTTAAAAAGAAATTATCTCTAAAATTAGGCATGGATTTAGAGGCAGATGTGAAAGAGATATAGATTTAACGATTTGTTTTAGCAAAAATGCTTTAAAACGTTAAATATGAAATCTCTAGTTGAGACCATTTATTTGATACATCATATAATAAATATAATGACTTTAAATGGGAATATCTAAGTAATTATGTAGTTTTTTAGATTTGATTTAATATAATAATAAATGTGACATACAGAATCCAGATTCAATGCTTCTGAAAGGAGCATGACGACACCACGATAGTCATTATCCATCCACATAGGACTCGAAGCAAGAATAGTGAATTGATTTGAAGATGAACCCAAATTAGACCGTTGAGGATGCTTGTATAGGCCCACTGAGTAGCCCAAATTGAAGCCTTTATGTTTCAGATCCTGAGGCGAGCTTTTCAGTCGGAGCTCCTTCAAGACTTCCCGACCTTTGTAGTGACCGAAGAACACATTGCCTTCAGTGAGGTAGGATCCTGGCATTCCGATCACGGTAAATGCTTCTCCGGGTTCGTCTCCTGCAAAATAAAATGAAATTTAACTTAAAAATTAGCAATTTATTGGCTTATCTAAATGTACTAAGGTGTACAATGTGGCTGCTAGACTAACCACAGAATGATATTAATCCGATTTGCCTTGAGTCTTGCGGTCATATGATGATAATAATAATCGAACACCATAACCACGTGATCAGATTTTTTAAAATATTTTGCAGTGATATGGTGTGATAGCCTCCAAGCCCTACATGTCTATTTATAGGGAAATTATTGATTTTTGAGAGAGGAACTTACGAAAATCTGGCTTCATTTCAAATTACAGATGACATTCCACCAATGAAATTGAACAAGTGTTCTGAAGGTACCATCAAGAGAATCTCGATTTCCACTTCCTCTCTTGTTGTTGACAAGGATCAACCAATGTGAAAAGGCGTGAATAGTGTTGGAAATGAACAGATACCTGGAATTTTCCCTGAATATACGTTTCCATTGAATAATTCCCACTTTAAAATTGAAGTGGGGAATTACTTATTTGCTATTGGTCCAATCAGTAATGCTTGATATATGTGATAACATTAATATTTCTTATAAACATAATTTGATTTATTTAATAAGAATTACCTAAATGCAACTATTTAAGCTCATGAAAAAAATATAAAACCTTTCACAAAATAGGCGGAAAGTGGATTCCATGTTAAGAAAAGCAAAATTTTTAGAAAAAAACATTGCCGTTACTTCAATAAAATGCCAACCTTAAGCTTCAAAATGAACCAAGCAGTAATAAAGCGTCGATGCATTTTCGCATCTTAATTCGGTTTCAGGTTTTTTTAATTGAATATTAACTAGTATCCAGTGTCGATTATAATTTAAACTTACTCCTTTTGTACTATTATTAATGGTGGGCCCTCTTAGAACCTGAACTGAACCTGAACCTGATTGCATTAAAACTAGCCATTAATGAGCATTGTTAGACGATAAATCAAATCACATTTAGCTGCAACAAGAATTTAGAAAAATCTAGGTGACTTGACTGACCTCGAAAATTGGCCAATCGTTGGACAAACGCTAAACAATATTGCAATCCTTTCATGCAAATTTGGACGCTTAAACATCCTTATGTGCGTGAATAGGTACAACTCAAAGCTCCTTTGCTGATCTCCGCTTCATTGCCCACTTCATCTTAACCCCCCCTTCCTTTGTTTATTATGCTTCTTAAGCTTGCCAATGATTTATTTATTTCAAATGGCAGGCGATTCGATAGCTATCATTAGCCATTTAGTTGACTTCGGGCTTCACAGAGGGGAAAGAACATCAAAGTAGAAGAAAGTGGAGATGAGGGGAACAGAAGAGCGATTCACAGATGTAAAAGAGACAGACAGACACAAAGGTAGAAAAAGGTGAGGTGAGTACTGTGGAAATAGTCGAATATGACATACAGTGGGGTGATGGTAGTTTGAAGTGAGAAGTCAACTGCCAGTCAATAGACTTTTTTGCCGTATGAGTATACGTTGCCCAGGGTGCACCACGTGGAGGTAAGTCTATCGCACACCCCAGCTTGCCAATGGTAACAATTTTCGGAAAATTGCTTCAGTTCCTACTTCTATCACCAATGTCAGCTTGGACCAGTTATCATATTAGCCTACTTTCATCATCAATGCACTTAGAAATGCAATTACAATGTTCCAGATTCCTGACTTCCGGTTCTCATAGTTTGCTCAATACGAATAAATTTCAGTATTTGCTGTTCACTTAAAGAGTTAATCTCCTGCTCAGAGTAGAGAATATGTAAGCAAATATTTTAAAGAAAATGGAAATAGCGATGCCAAAAGTAGGATAATTTTGCATTTTCCATTCAATAGCGTTTATCAAATTACACACTATTCATGTTTCCGGCTGGGGTGTGCGATAGACTTACCTCCACGTGGTGCACTCTGGGCAACGTATACTCATACGGCAAAAAAGTCTATAAACTGGCGGTTGACTTCAAACTACCATGACCCCACTGTATGTTTCATTCGATCACTTCCACCATACTTATCCTACCTTTTCTCTGCCTTTGTGTCCGCCTGTCTTTTTAACATCTTTAAACACTCTTCTGTTCACCCCCCCCCCTAGACTTTTTTTCGATTTGATGTTCCTCTTCCTCTGTGAAGCCTAAAGTCAACTAAAGGGCTAATGATAACTATCATAAAGCCCGCCATTTGTTATAAATAAATAAATGTTTCCGGCTTATTTTACTGTTTCAGTACCCAATAAATCAATACAGCAGAATTTGCTTTACTAAATTCTTGTTTAACTAGTCTTGTTCATTAGGATTATGTTAGCTAAGAAATTAACTTTACCTAGTAAGCAGAGGTGGTGGAAATATCGTGTCTTAATTAGTATGAGGTTAATGAGCGTTTGAAAATCAGCGCCAGGAGGTCACAGCTTGACCTGATGGAAGAATATTTCGACTTCGAAGATCTTCCCCAAATATTATGCGCACACACCAGTAAGACCCTAAATCCAATCAGCACTGTTTCCCTCCACCACCCCCCCCCCTCTTTGGAACAGTGTTTTCTTCCGAAATGTTATCCACATCAAACATCAGAATGACAATTATGTTGAGTGCATCGCGAAAAATATCTAATTACCTGATTCAAGAGCAGCGCTGAATCCCGAAAGACAGGCACCTTCTTCAGCGCTTTCACAGGCATCAATCGGGGTGTATTGCATGGAGACCCCAGTGTATAGGGCACAGGTGCCAATCCCAAGATTCTGCACTTCTACACCGGATCTGGAGGCATTCAATGAATGGGAGCGTGATGAGGAAGAAGCTGACAGCGTGGAAGGAGTGTAGAGATAGCGTGGGTCACAGCCAAGTTGAAGTCCATCTTGTCCATTGCTGGTTGCAGTCACAAGTCCACCAATCCATAAGGAAACTGCATTGAAATAAAAAATAAAGTCATTCATTACTAACATGCGGTCCATTCGGGATTAAAAAAAGGCCAACTATTCTAGCTATTATTGCTAGAAACGATGTCTAATTGCTAATTTATTGGCCAAAATTTATTTTTCCTTAAAGCTGATTTCGATGTGACGCTTTTTTGAGTAATTCTTGCCTCTGTGACCTCTAGGAAAACAAAAATTGGGCCAATTACTTACCTTAATTGATCGCTAAAAATCTATCACTTCCAAATGTCGAAATAGCATATTTTGAAAGATTCGAACACTATTGCATTTTTTAGATCTTAATTTCCTTAATAAATAATAATATTTTGGATGAACTAAGGTTTTGGTTATTTCCAAATAAAATTCATTCACAAATGAGACAATAGTTTAAATGCAAGTTATTCCGGAACCCAAGGGGAAAGGGATTTCATTGAAAGACAACCAGCAAAAGAAAAGCAAACGGTAATTTACAAATATGGAGTTTGTTTCAACTCATTTGTCCAGAAACGGGATAATGAAAAGCGATAATTGATAACATGATTTAAAGATTTTAATCGATGATATAACGCTTCTCAGAGTGATTTAAACCTTTAACGCCCGAATTGTTTTTTGAAAGATGATCCCGGACTGATGACGACGACCAGATGAGTTTTGGTGATATCAGGCAAAGGCTATAGACACGTATTGACCTTGGTTCAAACGGTAATAGCACCTTCTGTTAAGAATCTAATACCAATGGAGCTTATTTTGAAAGAGAATCGTGCTGTCCTTCAGGGCGGTAGGGGGCTAACTCAAAACTGACTAATAAGGTCACGAAGAAAGGAAACTAAATGCCATTATCGACCATGATTAATAGTTTCGTTTATTGAGTATTTGCGTGCAAACAAAAAATAGATTCATGGTACTTTGTATATGAGTGTGCCAGTAAAAATGATAAATTTCGCCTTTTTGCTTAGCCTGACCATGTTTTAGAATAGTGGAATTTTGTGTGAATGAGCCATTTCCTCTAAGGCGAAGAATAGACTGGTAAAAGGATGTTGCAATCTTATTCGTTAAGTTAAAAATAGTTCCTGTCTTGATTGAAGTTAGTCAATGATCATTGAGAAGGGGAATTGGCAAGTGCTTTTGCCAGTAGACAAAGTTGAATAGCATGACGTATGTGCCGCATTTTTACTTGGTGATGAATTAGAAGCTTCCTCCCTTTTGACATGAATAATTCATCATGGGGTGTGCGAGAGACTTACCTCCACGTGGTACACTCTGGGCAACGTATACTCATACGGCAAAAAAGTCTATAAACCGGCAGTTGCCTTCTGACTTCAAACTACCATCACCCCATTGTATGTCATATTCGACTACTTCCATAGTACTCACCTCACCTTTTCTCCCTACCTTTGTGTCTGTCTCTTTTACATTTTTAAAAC